CTGAAGGAAGGTCAACTGCTGGTCTCTGTGGACCTCCTCTTTCAACTCTCTCCTTAAGATCGGGGTTGCTAGCCCCTCGATGAAATGGTCCCTCAGTAGGCGTACATCAATGTCCGGTATTTTGACCTTTACCGAATCAAAGGCCCTGTTCATCCTGTGTGAGTACTCCATCACACTCTCCGCCATTCTCTGCTTTAAGCCCACGAATCCCGATAGCAGTTGCACTCCCGACCGTCTCTCCCCAAAGGTCTCCATAATCAGATCCAGCACCTTATCTGGATCTGATTGGACGGTCCTATCGTGGCACTTAACCTCTGCCCTAACCGTTTCACCTATACTGCCCATCAGCAGTCTTAATCTTTCCTCTGGTGACATATGTCTCGAGGCCCAGGCCGCTTTGACCTCTTCACTGAACCTGTTGGTTAAAGTTGGATCTCCGTCCCCGTAGAATTTGTTAATATGGGACTCTCTGGGTAGGACCACTATATGGGTCTGTTTCTCGTCCAGAGTAGACATTTTCTTCCTTAAGTACTAAAAAAAAGAGTTCTTTCTTACCGTGTGTGTATGAAAAATTTTTCCTCGTTCCTCAATTTTCACAGTTCCTGAATGTCCGAATTCACACACACACTAAACACAGTTATGCACAAGGTTGACTATAGGTGCCTTAAACGGCAAGTCTAGTTGAATTCATCCTGATCGCAGCGCCAATTGTGACGAGCGAACATTTATCCTGCCGACAACGCCAATTGTAACGAGCCAACAGTTACCATGCTCGCAACGCCACATGTAATGAGACCTAATTGCCTGTAGTGCCACGTGTTAACGAGTTTAACCACTCATTCTAGACAACATTGACCACAGTATAGATACTCAAGATGCAGGTTCGCTATTGATCCTTTATTACATGAATCAAGAAATGCTTCATAATAACACAATAAATCAACAGGAATGCTTCTCAATAATAGTCTGAATCAACTGACCCCTAACAGTCCTTCACTAGGCTTGATATAACTGAATCCACATGTCTATAATCCTTCTTAACACAATACGGCTAACCCGTTCTATAACCGACTTGACATAGTCACACAGACTGACTGATCTAAGCGAGCGATGCAAGAGGCAAGAGCCTCGAAACGGGAAGAGAAGAGAAGAGAACGAGTTCTGCCGTCCCCTCCTATTTATGCCTTGAAATCGTAGTCGTACTTGTCTCCATTTCCGTAATCGATACTTGTAATCGATGTATCCGAATACTACTGTCGCAGTTTCTGACGTACCGTCCGATTCACTAAAACATCTGCGTCCCATCCATCAAAGTTGACAGCTCGTCTGAAACTTCTCGTACCGTTTCCCAAAATAGCACGCGTTGGCTTTGAGATTGTTATCAGACCGATCCAATAAGCCACCTGTTATGGTTGCGTCAGATTTCATACTGCGTCGCAGCTTCTCGTTCGTTATCATTTGTAACTGGTAGTTAGGCCTACCCCAGTTACATATATATATATATATATATATATATATATATATATATATATATATATATATATATATGTGCTCTGTCATAAGAGGTGGACTGTGGGCTGGCCCGCCTGTTTACCGGGAAAAATCTCAGAAGAAAATCTCGGGCGGCCCACAGGAACGGTGCATAGACTTATTGGAGTTTTGCTTTTTAAAAATCATTTGTTTGTATTTTTCCATTCCTTCATGCTAGGCCCTAAAGTTCTGGCTTTGATAGAGAAAAAAATTGCTCGATAAAAATTTCAATACAGTGCAGAGTCCCTTTAAAAACGTCTATGATCGCTTGGATACAGTTATTCCACCACTGCCTGTCATAGATTTTTCCTTCGGTAAATACAGTTATAAGTTTTACAAAACCAAAGTCAATGTGATATAGCACTGTTCTACACCGCACCTAACATACATACGTCAGTATAACAATAAAACACACGTTTTAAAACTCATTCATCCGTAGATTATCACCTGATAGCTATATAATCTTTAATCTTTGACAGGTGATGCCGGTAGAAAGACATGAAGATACGTGACTGGAATAAAGTAGTGTGTTATCAATTGTTCTTTGATTCTTGGGGTATTTGTCAGCTTATCTCAGCAAGGTGCTTATATCAGCGAGGTACTTATCTCTGCAAGGTTCATATCTCAGCGGGGTGCTTAGCGAGGTATTTATCTCAGCAGGGTGTTTAGCGAGGTATATATCTAAGCAAGGTGCTTAGTGTGGTATATATCTCAGCGGGGTGCTTAGTGAGGTATATATCTCAGCAAGGTGCTTAGCCAGGTATTTATCTCAGCGAGGTGCTTAGCGAGGTATATATCTCAGCAAGGTGCTTAGTGAGGTATTTATCTCAGCGAGGTGTTTATCTCAGTGAGGTGCATATCTCAGCCTGGTGCATATCTCAACAAGGTGCTTATCTCATCCAGGTATTTGCACCACAAACTTTAATTACACCACATTACGGATGTCTGTGTTGATTGGCCAAGCATTTGATTCACTGAACCAGGAAGCGACCTGTTAGTTTGTAAGAAAGTCGTCAACTCCTTTCTGTATTTCGTGTGTGGGTTTGATTTAGCCCCATGAGAAATGTGGCGTTTCGATAATATACAGAAAAATGGCTGTTGAAATAAATTATAAATCGAGATAAAACACGACATAGAACAAGAGTTAAAGGTCTAGCATAAACTAAAGAATAAAAGGAGTGGTCTAGCGGTCAGTGTTTCTTCCAGACTTTTTTCTCCGGGGGGGGGGGGCACTTGAAATCTTCGGGGGGGGGGCGGTAAACTTTCTTCGGGGGGGCGGACACTGTTAAAAGTATATATTTTCTATATAAATTATATAAATTTCAAATCGTTCGGGGGGGGGGGGCGGTAAAAAAATTTCTGGGGGGGGGGGGCTTCGCCCCCCCCCCCCCCCCCGAAGAGATGCCTGGAAGAAACTCTGCTAGCGGTAGAGAGCTGGACTGCTAACCCGTAAGCCTCGAGTTCGAATCCGGGTTCAAGTCAGTAGACCGTCCCAGAGTCCACCCAACTCTGATGGGTACCTAACTCACGTTAGGGATAGTAAAGGCGGCTGGGCATAGTGCTGACCACACTATCTCTTCATATGCCGAGGTCACAGAAACAAGTGAACTCTACTTCACTTGCCCCATAGACCGTCAGGTTTGAAAGGGAAACTTTACTTACTTTTTTACTATAAACAAAAGAATAAAAGGATAACATAATGTAAAATAAATGATAACTTTACTGCCTAGAATAAATAAAACAACAAAAGGATAACATCATATAAAATAAATGATAACTTTACTGTCTAGCATAAACAAAAGAACAAAAGGATAACATAATATAAAACCAAGGATAACTTTACTTAGGTTGAAAATTATATGGTGGCCACATTAAATCTAATTATTTTCAAGCCAATATCAATATATGTATCAAGTTATTGTATTTATTAAGACAAATTATTAAATCATCATTAAAAAATATTTAGGTAATTCTTTATTCAGCGGTATAATTTCAGTTTTTCTTAAAAAACCTATATACTTTATACAGTTTAAAATTATATACATGTATTTCTAAATATAGTAACCAAAATTACAAACTAATTTTTAATACAATACAGTCTGATGTGCTTAAAGGTTTATACAAATTATATAGCTGCTAAATTCAACACATTTAATAACTAGCAACACAGAATTGATAGTTTACAGTAATAATTCAAGCGAAGCAACATAAAAACATTTTTTTTAAAACTATTTTGTTGTGAAGTGCTGTAAACATCTAAAGTTCGGTTACATCAAAAGCTAAACAGACTATTTATGTCTTTATAGTTTTTGTTGAGTGATAAAAAACTATGTAGTTACTTCCAATTGTGGGTTAGTTTGTTGTGGTGAAACCTGCATGATGCAGTTAAATCATTAGTACTGTAAAACATGTATTTCTTTGCTCTAGGTTTTAAAAATAAAAATAAAAACATTTTTTATTTAACGTTATAAATATTAAAGATGCAAATCCATATTTCTGGGTGACATACAAATGAAGCAAATAGATTTTAAAGACAGCTTTCACACTTTAAAATAATGTCCAGTTGTCTACTACGCTAATTTTTTTTTAATCTTATCCACCAAGGGCAAGCAATCTATCGTCTTAGTTGAAATATCCCCGCTTAACTCCCTTTCCTCTCTGAAAGCGTAAACACTAATGACATGCGCACAGGAAAATAGTTATCTTCCCTGAAGAAAAATTCCGCATAGTCATGTTAGTTTTTATTTACTGAATAATCTTTTTCTACGTTTATCATTTTGACGCATGAATTATTATTAATTACTAAAACTATTTTATTATTAAATATGTTCATTACGTAAAGCAATTTTTGAAATGTTTACAATACATTAATCAATCACTAAATCTAAACATTTTAAAAATTACAAAGCGAAAATATTACAAATTAAAGGATACATTTTTTTATAAAAATATTGATTTCAAAGGATGGGAGCGTAATGGAGCGGATGTAGTAGATGGTGGAGACTTCATCATCATGATTTTTCTATCTTTTTTGTATCATTTTCCATTTTGTACACGAAAATACAAAAACTTTTACCCCCCCCCCCCCCCCCCCACCCTTTCACCTGTACCCCTTTTGAAGCCAGAATGTAAAAAAAATTGTTATGATAATGTTTTGGGGTAAAAAGACAATGGCATCAACCCACTAGATGAAGGCAAACACGGTTGTAAGTTATTTTTAGGCCAGGAAGTTGCAAATTTGCGTTTGACTCTTTGAGTCGTCTTACTCTTTCACTAAAAAAAAAAAAAAATAGAAACCAAAATACAATTAGCTATTAACTCTTATGAAAATAGGTTGTTAAAATATGATTTAACATCAAATATAAAAAAATAATATTTTGTTTTAAAATGAAATTTATTATATGGTTCATACAGTACTGTAATGTCACCACCCCCCCCCCCCCCTTTACACACATACACACACACGCACACACACACACACGCACAAACACAGATAATCGGTAATTCCCACAGAAAATGAGTAATCCCTAAAAATACTTTGTATATTTTTTTTTTGTAATTTAGTAGCTTTATGGCTTTTGTAAATATTGCTTTAATTACCTAACTTATTAATACTACCAAATACATCTTACATGTACCAAAGTGATAAACAAAATATCTTATGTTTAATTAAGACTTCACAATATTTCTTGTAATGTCGCACGCCCCAAATTTTACGCGGTTTGATGCCATCGTTCAACCCACACCCACAACAAACGAAACCAAACTGTACAACGACTAATCGGACGCTAGTCCCCAGAAAGACTCCAAAAATCCTGCGAGTAAGCCGCAGCGCCGTGTTGAGCCGCAGTTCCCGATTCGTGTAGCCGCAATTAGCGGCTGCGTTCAGCCCCCTTGCTGCCGCGTGAGGGTGCGGCCCATCAGGTACTTGTGGCAGGTGTGGCAGCAGTGGGTGGCCACGATCTGGTTCCTCTGGCATTCCTCCACCCCCAGGTAGGTCATGATGCTGGCACAGCTCAGACGCCCGTAGGGGAGGTAGGTGATGATGGTGGGCCGGTCCCCGTACAGGCAGTCCGCTGAAATTATTTAAAAGGTTACGTTTTAGTCAGAGGCGTAGCGAGAGGGGGGAGGGGGTGCGGACCGCATCGGGTGACACTATTTAGGGGGTGGGGTGACACCAAGGCAAAAAAATAGCAAAATATATAGAGAAAATGATAATTCCACTTAATTAAGTGATTAATTCGAGTGTTAAATAGTCTTTTAAGAGGTGCAAATCGAAAGTTTGAGGGGGGAGGGGGGGGGTGCAAATCGAAAATTTGAGGGGGGGGGGGGGTGCAAATCAAATCACCATTAAGTGCCGCACCAAATTTAAAAATTAACAACCTTGTATCAATTAATTAAAGAATATTGTATAAACTTTGTTTAAATAAATATCGCATTAGGGAGTATTAGTAAATTTAAAAAAAATAATAACTCAATATTAGTAAACTTAACGAAAGAATACTGTATAAACTTTGTTTAAATAAATATCGTAGTTGCAAATTTTTTAAAAATAATAACTCAATATTAGTTAACTTAACTAAAGAATACTGTATAAACTTTGTTTAAATTAATATTGTAGTAGTAAATTTAAAAAAAAAAACAACTCAATATTAGTTAAATTAACTAAAGAATACTGAATAAACTTTGTTTAAATAAATATCGTATATTGTAAATTTTAAAAAATAAAATAACAGTCTTGACAACACTGCGGTTTTTCAACATTTGACAATAGGGCTTGTAAGTAGGTCACCAACTTCTAATCATACTCGCCAGTTATATTTTCAAACCAATTGTGATTATGTTTATTAAATCGGTAAAAAAAGAAATAAAAGTTACTTGCGCTATTGTTAAGTTATTTAAAATCGTAAAAACTGATAATGATACTTTGAGAAATCACCTGACCCTGGCTAACGAGATTTCAAATTTTAAATAAGAGAAGCAAAGAGACTTACAAGCCCTATTAAGACGGCGTGGTAGAGAGCACAACTAATAACTCAATAATCTCGAGTTTGGATCCCGGCCGATGACGGTCAGTGAGTACCTAACCGACAGCATCCAATTGACCAATGTAGCCAACACACCACAGATTGAGTACCTAACTACAGCATCTACTCACCAACCTAACCACCACTGGGTGAGTACCTAACTGACGTCATCTACTCACCAACCTTACCACCACTGTGTGAGTACCTAACTGACAGCATCTACTCACCAACCTTACCACCACTGTGTGAGTACCTAACTGACAGCATCTACTCACCAACCTAACCACCACTGTGTGAGTACCTAACTGACAGCATCTACTCACCAACCTAACCACCACTGTGTGAGTACCTAACTGACAGCATCTACTCACCAACCTAACCACCACTGTGTGAGTACCTAACTGACAGCATCTACTCACCAACCTAACCAGCACTGTGTGAGTACCTAACTGACAGCATCTACTCACCAACCTTACCACCACTGTGTGAGTACCTAACTGACAGCATCTACTCACCAACCTTACCACCACTGGGTGAGTACCTAACTGACAGCATCTACTCACCAACCTTACCACCACTGTGTGAGTACCTAACTGACAGCATCTACTCACCAACCTTACCACCACTGTGTGAGTACCTAACTGACAGCATCTACTCACCAACCTTACCACCACTGGGTGAGTACCTAACTGACAGCATCTACTCACCAACCTTACCACCACTGGGTGAGTACCTAACTGACAGCATCTACTCACCAACCTTACCACCACTGTGTGAGTACCTAACTGACAGCATCTACTCACCAACCTTACCACCACTGTGTGAGTACCTAACTGACAGCATCTACTCACCAACCTTACCACCACTGTGTGAGTACCTAACTGACAGCATCTACTCACCAACCTAACCACCACTGTGTGAGTACCTAACTGACAGCATCTACTCACCAACCTAACCAGCACTGTGTGAGTACCTAACTGACAGCATCTACTCACCAACCTTACCACCACTGTGTGAGTACCTAACTGACAGCATCTACTCACCAACCTTACCACCACTGGGTGAGTACCTAACTGACAGTATCTACTCACCAACCTTACCACCACTGGGTGAGTACCTAACTGACAGCATCTACTCACCAACCTAACCACCACTGTGTGAGTACCTAACTGACAGCATCTACTCACCAACCTAGACAGCATACCACTGTGTGAGTACCTAACTGACAGCATCTACTCACCAACCTAGACAGCATACCACTGTGTGAGTACCTAACTGACAGCATCTACTCACCAACCTAACCAGCACTGTGTGAGTACCTAACTGACGTCATCTACTCACCAACCTAGACAGCATACCACTGTGTGAGTACCTAACTGACAGCATCTACTCACCAACCTAACCACCACTGTGTGAGTACCTAACTGACAGCATCTACTCACCAACCTAGACAGCATACCACTGTGTGAGTACCTAACTGACAGCATCTACTCACCAACCTAACCACCACTGTGTGAGTACCTAACTGACAGCATCTACTCACCAACCTAGACAGCATACCACTGTGTGAGTACCTAACTGACGTCATCTACTCACCAACCTAGACAGCATACCACTGTGTGAGTACCTAACTGACAGCATCTACTCACCAACCTAACCACCACTGTGTGAGTACCTAACTGACAGCATCTACTCACCAACCTAACCACCACTGTGTGAGTACCTAACTGACAGCATCTACTCACCAACCTAGACAGCACTGTGTGAGTACCTAACTGACAGCATCTACTCACCAACCTAACCACCACTGTGTGAGTACCTAACTGACAGCATCTACTCACCAACCTAACCATCACTGTGTGAGTACCTAACTGACAGCATCTACTCACCAACCTAACCACCACTGTGTGAGTACCTAACTGACAGCATCTACTCACCAACCTAGACAGCACTGTGTGAGTACCTAACTGACAGCATCTACTCACCAACCTAACCACCACTGTGTGAGTACCTAACTGACAGTATATACTCACCAACCTAGACAGCATACCACTGTGTGAGTACCTAACTGACAGCATCTACTCACCAACCTAGACAGCATACCACTCTGTGAGTACCTAACTGACAGCATCTACTCACCAACCTTACCACCACTGTGTGAGTACCTAACTGACAGCATCTACTCACCAACCTAACCACCACTGTGTGAGTACCTAACTGACAGCATCTACTCACCAACCTAACCACCACTGTGTGAGTACCTAACTGACAGCATCTACTCACCAACCTAACCACCACTGTGTGAGTACCTAACTGACAGCATCTACTCACCAACCTTACCACCACTGGGTGAGTACCTAACTGACAGCATCTACTCACCAACCTTACCACCACTGGGTGAGTACCTAACTGACAGCATCTACTCACCAACCTTACCACCACTGTGTGAGTACCTAACTGACAGCATCTACTCACCAACCTTACCACCACTGGGTGAGTACCTAACTGACAGCATCTACTCACCAACCTTACCACCACTGTGTGAGTACCTAACTGACAGCATCTACTCACCAACCTTACCACCACTGTGTGAGTACCTAACTGACAGCATCTACTCACCAACCTTACCACCACTGTGTGAGTACCTAAATGACAGCATCTACTCACCAACCTAACCACCACTGTGTGAGTACCTAACTGACAGCATCTACTCACCAACCTAACCAGCACTGTGTGAGTACCTAACTGACAGCATCTACTCACCAACCTTACCACCACTGTGTGAGTACCTAACTGACAGCATCTACTCACCAACCTTACCACCACTGGGTGAGTACCTAACTGACAGTATCTACTCACCAACCTTACCACCACTGGGTGAGTACCTAACTGACAGCATCTACTCACCAACCTAGACAGCATACCACTGTGTGAGTACCTAACTGACAGCATCTACTCACCAACCTAACCACCACTGTGTGAGTACCTAACTGACAGCATCTACTCACCAACCTAACCATCACTGTGTGAGTACCTAACTGACAGTATCTACTCACCAACCTAGACAGCATACCACTGTGTGAGTACCTAACTGACAGCATCTACTCACCAACCTAACCAGCACTGTGTGAGTACCTAACTGACGTCATCTACTCACCAACCTAGACAGCATACCACTGTGTGAGTACCTAACTGACAGCATCTACTCACCAACCTAACCAGCACTGTGTGAGTACCTAACTGACAGCATCTACTCACCAACCTAACCAGCACTGTGTGAGTACCTAACTGACGTCATCTACTCACCAACCTAGACAGCATACCACTGTGTGAGTACCTAACTGACAGCATCTACTCACCAACCTAACCATCACTGTGTGAGTACCTAACTGACAGCATCTACTCACCAACCTTACCACCACTGTGTGAGTACCTAACTGACAGCATCTACTCACCAACCTAACCACCACTGTGTGAGTACCTAACTGACAGCATCTACTCACCAACCTTACCACCACTGGGTGAGTACCTAACTGACAGCATCTACTCACCAACCTAGACAGCATACCACTGTGTGAGTACCTAACTGACAGCATCTACTCACCAACCTAGACAGCATACCACTGTGTGAGTACCTAACTGACAGCATCTACTCACCAACCTAACCAGCACTGTGTGAGTACCTAACTGACGTCATCTACTCACCAACCTAGACAGCATACCACTGTGTGAGTACCTAACTGACAGCATCTACTCACCAACCTAACCACCACTGTGTGAGTACCTAACTGACAGCATCTACTCACCAACCTAACCATCACTGTGTGAGTACCTAACTGACAGTATCTACTCACCAACCTAGACAGCATACCACTGTGTGAGTACCTAACTGACAGCATCTACTCACCAACCTAACCAGCACTGTGTGAGTACCTAACTGACGTCATCTACTCACCAACCTAGACAGCATACCACTGTGTGAGTACCTAACTGACAGCATCTACTCACCAACCTAACCACCACTGTGTGAGTACCTAACTGACAGCATCTACTCACCAACCTTACCACCACTGGGTGAGTACCTAACTGACAGTATCTACTCACCAACCTTACCACCACTGGGTGAGTACCTAACTGACAGTATCTACTCACCAACCTTACCACCACTGGGTGAGTACCTAACTGACAGCATCTACTCACCAACCTTACCACCACTGGGTGAGTACCTAACTGACAGTATCTACTCACCAACCTTACCACCACTGGGTGAGTACCTAACTGACAGCATCTACTCACCAACCTAGACAGCATACCACTGTGTGAGTACCTAACTGACAGCATCTACTCACCAACCTAACCAGCACTGTGTGAGTACCTAACTGACGTCATCTACTCACCAACCTAGACAGCATACCACTGTGTGAGTACCTAACTGACAGCATCTACTCACCAACCTAACCAGCACTGTGTGAGTACCTAACTGACAGCATCTACTCACCAACCTAGACAGCATACCACTGTGTGAGTACCTAACTGACAGCATCTACTCACCAACCTAACCACCACTGTGTGAGTACCTAACTGACAGCATCTACTCACCAACCTTACCACCACTGTGTGAGTACCTAACTGACAGCATCTACTCACCAACCTTACCACCACTGGGTGAGTACCTAACTGACAGCATCTACTCACCAACCTAACCAGCACTGTGTGAGTACCTAACTGACAGCATCTACTCACCAACCTAACCACCACTGTGTGAGTACCTAACTGACAGTATCTAACTCACCAACCTAACCAGCACTGTGTGAGTACCTAACTGACAGCATCTACTCACCAACCTAGACAGCATACCACTGTGTGAGTACCTAACTGACAGCATCTACTCACCAACCTAACCACCACTGTGTGAGTACCTAACTGACAGCATCTACTCACCAACCTAACCACCACTGTGTGAGTACCTAACTGACAGCATCTACTCACCAACCTAGACAGCACTGTGTGAGTACCTAACTGACAGCATCTACTCACCAACCTAACCACCACTGTGTGAGTACCTAACTGACAGCATCTACTCACCAACCTAACCATCACTGTGTGAGTACCTAACTGACAGCATCTACTCACCAACCTAACCACCACTGTGTGAGTACCTAACTGACAGCATCTACTCACCAACCTAGACAGCACTGTGTGAGTACCTAACTGACAGCATCTACTCACCAACCTAACCACCACTGTGTGAGTACCTAACTGACAGTATATACTCACCAACCTAGACAGCATACCACTGTGTGAGTACCTAACTGACAGCATCTACTCACCAACCTAGACAGCATACCACTCTGTGAGTACCTAACTGACAGCATCTACTCACCAACCTTACCACCACTGTGTGAGTACCTAACTGACAGCATCTACTCACCAACCTAACCACCACTGTGTGAGTACCTAACTGACAGCATCTACTCACCAACCTAACCACCACTGTGTGAGTACCTAACTGACAGCATCTACTCACCAACCTAACCACCACTGTGTGAGTACCTAACTGACAGCATCTACTCACCAACCTTACCACCACTGGGTGAGTACCTAACTGACAGCATCTACTCACCAACCTTACCACCACTGGGTGAGTACCTAACTGACAGCATCTACTCACCAACCTTACCACCACTGTGTGAGTACCTAACTGACAGCATCTACTCACCAACCTTACCACCACTGGGTGAGTACCTAACTGACAGCATCTACTCACCAACCTTACCACCACTGTGTGAGTACCTAACTGACAGCATCTACTCACCAACCTTACCACCACTGTGTGAGTACCTAACTGACAGCATCTACTCACCAACCTTACCACCACTGTGTGAGTACCTAACTGACAGCATCTACTCACCAACCTAACCACCACTGTGTGAGTACCTAACTGACAGCATCTACTCACCAACCTAACCAGCACTGTGTGAGTACCTAACTGACAGCATCTACTCACCAACCTTACCACCACTGTGTGAGTACCTAACTGACAGCATCTACTCACCAACCTTACCACCACTGGGTGAGTACCTAACTGACAGTATCTACTCACCAACCTTACCACCACTGGGTGAGTACCTAACTGACAGCATCTACTCACCAACCTAGACAGCATACCACTGTGTGAGTACCTAACTGACAGCATCTACTCACCAACCTAGACAGCATACCACTGTGTGAGTACCTAACTGACAGCATCTACTCACCAACCTAACCAGCACTGTGTGAGTACCTAACTGACGTCATCTACTCACCAACCTAGACAGCATACCACTGTGTGAGTACCTAACTGACAGCATCTACTCACCAACCTAACCACCACTGTGTGAGTACCTAACTGACAGCATCTACTCACCAACCTAACCATCACTGTGTGAGTACCTAACTGACAGTATCTACTCACCAACCTAGACAGCATACCACTGTGTGAGTACCTAACTGACAGCATCTACTCACCAACCTAACCAGCACTGTGTGAGTACCTAACTGACGTCATCTACTCACCAACCTAGACAGCATACCACTGTGTGAGTACCTAACTGACAGCATCTACTCACCAACCTAACCAGCACTGTGTGAGTACCTAACTGACAGCATCTACTCACCAACCTTACCACCACTGTGTGAGTACCTAACTGACAGCATCTACTCACCAACCTAGACAGCATACCACTGTGTGAGTACCTAACTGACAGCATCTACTCACCAACCTAGACAGCATACCACTGTGTGAGTACCTAACTGACAGCATCTACTCACCAACCTAACCAGCACTGTGTGAGTACCTAACTGACAGCATCTACTCACCAACCTAACCACCACTGTGTGAGTACCTAACTGACAGCATCTACTCACCAACCTTACCACCACTGGGTGAGTACCTAACTGACAGTATCTACTCACCAACCTTACCACCACTGGGTGAGTACCTAACTGACAGTATCTACTCACCAACCTTACCACCACTGGGTGAGTACCTAACTGACAGCATCTACTCACCAACCTTACCACCACTGGGTGAGTACCTAACTGACAGTATCTACTCACCAACCTTACCACCACTGGGTGAGTACCTAACTGACAGCATCTACTCACCAACCTAGACAGCATACCACTGTGTGAGTACCTAACTGACAGCATCTACTCACCAACCTAACCAGCACTGTGTGAGTACCTAACTGACGTCATCTACTCACCAACCTAGACAGCATACCACTGTGTGAGTACCTAACTGACAGCATCTACTCACCAACCTAACCAGCACTGTGTGAGTACCTAACTGACAGCATCTACTCACCAACCTAACCATCACTGTGTGAGTACCTAACTGACAGCATCTACTCACCAACCTTACCACCACTGTGTGAGTACCTAACTGACAGCATCTACTCACCAACCTTACCACCACTGTGTGAGTACCTAACTGACAGCATCTACTCACCAACCTAACCAGCACTGTGTGAGTACCTAACTGACAGCATCTACTCACCAACCTTACCACCACTGGGTGAGTACCTAACTGACAGCATCTACTCACCAACCTAACCAGCACTGTGTGAGTACCTAACTGACAGCATCTACTCACCAACCTAACCACCACTGTGTGAGTACCTAACTGACAGTATCTACTCACCAACCTAACCAGCACTGTGTGAGTACCTAACTGACAGCATCTACTCACCAACCTAACCAGCACTGTGTGAGTACCTAACTGACAGCATCTACTCACCAACCTAGACAGCATACCACTGTGTGAGTACCTAACTGACAGCATCTACTCACCAACCTAACCAGCACTGTGTGAGTACCTAACTGACAGCATCTACTCACCAACCTAACCACCACTGTGTGAGTACCTAACTGACAGTATCTAACTCACCAACCTAACCACCACTGTGTGAGTACCTAACTGACAGCATCTACTCACCAACCTAACCATCACTGTGTGAGTACCTAACTGACAGCATCTACTCACCAACCTAACCACCACTGTGTGAGTACCTAACTGACAGCATCTACTCACCAACCTAACCACCACTGTGTGAGTACCTAACTGACAGTATCTACTCACCAACCTTACCACCACTGGGTGAGTACCTAACTGACAGCATCTACTCACCAACCTAGACAGCATACCACTGTGTGAGTACCTAACTGACAGCATCTACTCACCAACCTAACCAGCACTGTGTGAGTACCTAACTGACAGCATCTACTCACCAACCTAACCACCACTGTGTGAGTACCTAACTGACAGTATCTAACTCACCAACCTAACCACCACTGTGTGAGTACCTAACTGACAGCATCTACTCACCAACCTAACCATCACTGTGTGAGTACCTAACTGACAGCATCTACTCACCAACCTAACCACCACTGTGTGAGTACCTAACTGACAGCATCTACTCACCAACCTAACCACCACTGTGTGAGTACCTAACTGACAGTATCTACTCACCAACCTTACCACCACTGGGTGAGTACCTAACTGACAGCATCTACTCACCAACCTAGACAGCATACCACTGTGTGAGTACCTAACTGACAGCATCTACTCACCATCCTAGCCAACACAAAGTGAGTACCTAACTGACAGCATCTACTCACCAGGAGGGGAGTCCTGTGCCACCCACTGCCTCAGCCTCTCACAAGAGTTGCAGCAGATCTTCCTCCTCTGGGCCGAGTAGCAGTTGATCTTCACGCTGGACATCGTGTCGTCATACAACGTGCACAGGTTCGGGTTGTAGTCACCCCAGGGACAACCTGGTGGATGAGACGGGTTTTTTTAATTTAGACAACCTGAGTGGATGATACGGGTTCTGTTTAGGGTTGTTGTTTTTTCAAGAAAGTAAGGTAACGCATTTTGACAATGTTTTTGACATTATAAATTTTTTAGCTCTAATGATAATTCATAAGGACAAAGTGAGAAAATAACTAGTTTCATTCGGTCAGCTTAACAGATAAAAGGGAGGGTTGGTAGAGAAGTCTATTGAGCCACGCTGAACAGTAAAAATAGAGACTGAAACGCTAGACTATTGCTGACGGAGTTTCTTTTTAAATCGTTGCAGTACGTGAAAGGGCTTATCACTCAATCGAGCACAAAATTGAAATTTAATTGAGTAATTTCCCTTTTAACGATGGCATTCATGTTTTTTTTTTAAATGTCTTGAGTTAATAACAACTTGACAATTGCATGCTAACTTAACTCTCTGTAATTGGTGACATTTTAAAATTTGCTTGCCCATGGAGGTTAATTAATTACTTATTTAAATACGGTGAATGTTTTATGTGACTGTATGTGCATATTATTTAAGACCTCACTTAAATGCCATTTTAATCTTACTGTGAGTACATGTTAATTAAAGATTCACTTAAATATTTGCCATGTTATTTTGACTACACGTGCATATTAATTTAGAACTCACTTAAATTGGTGAGATTTTTAAGCTGACTGCACGTGCATGTTAATTAAGTACTCACCTAAATTGGTGACATTTTTAAGCTGACTGCACGTGCATGTTAATTAAGTACTCACTTAAATTGGTGACATTTTTAAGCTGACTGCACGTGGATGTTAATTAAGTACTCACTTAAGTTTGTGAGGTTCTTCAGCTGACTGCACGTGTCGCAGCAGAGCCTCTTGGTGTCCGGAATGTAGCACAGTCCCGGGTTCTTCCGCACGTGCTCGCACGTGAATGCCATGTCGCCGTACTCACACGCCGGAGGGGCACCTGTGTCAGACAGACGTGTCATTATTTACATGTCACTCACTGACTTGTACAACATATTTTAAACGACATTAAAAACATATACAGTGAGAGAATTATAAACAGGAACAAACAAAAATAGATTTTGGTAAAAAAAATTTAATTGATGGTTTTTAACTTTCAAATATATTTAATTTTAAAAAAAAAGATTGAATTCAAATCTTAAAAAATAATTGCGATTATATATATTGATCTATAAATAAATTGAAAATGTGTTAAAAAGACAAAGGACCATTGGAAAAAGATGTTAAAATTGACGTGAAACTTGTACATTTTTTAATAAATATAGGGCTTTATGTTTTTTATAATGTAGGTTTTAAGACCTCATTTGGTGTAGGTTTGCTAAAAGACTGCCAAAGATTTTGTACGTGTTACTACTAAATAGTGCCAGAATCCTATTTGGGCCAAGGTTTATAACAACAATTGTGTACTACCTACTCGAACCTCGATTGGATACAAAAAAAAGTGACAGAGATCTATTAGGGCCTGAATTTGTTTAAACCTTGTATACCGCCTACTCGAACCTCTATCGGCTACAAAAATAGTCTCTAAGACCTACTTAGACATTGATTTACAACACAAATTAATGTTAAAATCTTACTTTGGCGCCTGAACCTCTCACACGTGTCACAGCAGGAATATCTGTTCCTCAGGTCGTAGCAGTCGGCTGGCTTCAGGGAGGGGCAGATTTCAGAGTGGTCACCATATTCACAACCTGTGGGACATAATGTTTTTAAAAGGGGCAGATTTTAGAGTTGTCACCATACTCACAACCTACGGGACAAAATTGTTTTAAAAGGGGCAGATTTTAGAGTTGTCACCATACTCACAACCTACAGGACAAACAAGATTTAAAGGGGGCAGATTTCAGAGTGGTCACCATACTCACAACCTACAGGACAAACAAGATTTAAAGGGGGCAGATTTCAGAGTGGTCACCATACTCACAACCTACAGGACAAACAAGATTTAAAGGGGGCAGATTTCAGAGTGGTCACCATATTCACAACCTACAGGACAAAATGTTTTTAGAAGGGGCAGATTTCAGAGTGGTCACCATACTCACAACCTGCAGGACAAACAAGATTTAAAGGGGGCAGATTTCAGAGTGGTCACCATATTCACAACCTACAGGACAAAATGTTTTTAGAAGGGGCAGATTTCAGAGTGGTCACCATATTCACAACCTACAGGACAAAATGTTTTTAGAAGGGGCAGATTTCAGAGTGGTCACCATACTCACAACCTGTGGGACAAAATGTTTTTAGAAGGGGCAGATTTCAGAGTGGTCACCATACTCACAACCTGTGGGACAAAATGTTTTTAGAAGGGGCAGATTTCAGAGTGGTCACCATACTCACAACCTACAGGACAAACAAGATTTAAAGGGGGCAGATTTCAGAGTGGTCACCATACTCGCAACCTACAGGACAAAATTGTTTTAAAAGGGGCAGATTTTAGCGTGGTCACCATACTCACAACCTACAGGACAAAATGTTTTTAGAAGGGGCAGATTTCAGAGTGGTCACCATACTCACAACCTACGGGACAAAATTGTTTTAAAAGGGGCAGATTTCAGAGTGGTCACCATACTCACAACCTGTGGGACAAAATGTTTTTAGAAGGGGCAGATTTTAGCGTGGTCACCATACTCACAACCTACGGGATAAAATGTTTTTAGAAGGGGCAGATTTTAGCAAGGTCACCATACTCACAACCTGCAGGAAAAACAAAATTTAGAGGGTGCAGATTTCAGAGTGGTCACCATACTCGCAACCTACAGGACAAAATTGTTTTAAAAGGGGCAGATTTTAGCGTGGTCACCACCACTCACAACCTACAGGACAAAATGTTTTTAGAAGGGGCAGATTTCAGAGTGGTCACCATACTCACAACCTACGGGACAAAATTGTTTTAAAAGGTGCAGATTTCAGAGTGGTCACCATACTCACAACCTGTGGGACAAAATGTTTTTAGAAGGGGCAGATTTTAGGGTGGTCACCATACTCACAACCTACGGGACAAATAAAATTTAAACGGGGCAGATTTTAGAGTGGTCACCATATTCAGAATCTGCGGGACAAAACTCAAATTTCACAGCAAAACTTCTCTATCTTTCTAAATTATATTGTTGAAGGAGACTATCTCCAAAACTATCAAGTATTACATGTCAACATGTTATGCAAAATGCTGCCTATCTACTATAACTTTAGCTCGTTTTTCTTGCAGGATTTGCCTCCATAGTCTTTGCCCATCCTAGATAAATCAAAACTTATTTAAAGGAAGCCTATACATTAGCCTGGTCGAGTCGGTAAAGCTCATGGTTGCTAAACCGAAGTCTCGAGTTCAAACCCTCGGGCAAACGAGGCTCGTTATCTGGGAGAGACAACTCCAAAATAAAAATAAAAACTGCTATATTGTAGTTTGTTCTTGGTTGGACAAAGGCTATAGAAGCAAATCCAAAAAGAAAAGCAGGCTGAAATCGGAGTCAATGGCCTCAATGGCGCATAACCAGTTGACACGTGTCAGAAACATATACATTAACACATACTAATTTATCAGAGAATACTGTTTTTGATGAATGCTATATTATTAGATATGTATTAAGTTAAAATAGAAAGTGGAATCTAAATTTTAACAAAAAGTTAACGCAGAAGTATTTTCAGCGCGTTTATTATTGCTATAAAGGACCGATTGCAATAAAATAGCATTTTACTTTTAAGAAATTCCTAATCAAAGAATGTATTTACAATTGTAACTTCTACAAACTTTTATACATAATTTATTATATTAATTTATTATTAGATATGTATTAAGTTAAAATAGAAAGTGGAATCTAAATTTTAACAAAAAGTTAACGCAGAAGTATTTTCAGCGCGTTTATTATTGCTATAAAGGACCGATTGCAATAAAATAGCATTTTACTTTTAAGAAATTCCTAATCAAAGAATGTATTTACAATTGTAACTTCTACAAACTTTTATACATAATTTATAACTCTTTTATTCTACCCCACAAAACTACGATAAGACAACTCTAGAAATATTTCTCTAAGAAGCGATCGGTGAACATATGGGCGGCCACTCCGCCGTATCTGTATACATTGTATGTTAGTGTGTGTAAACGTATGTTAGTGTGCTAGCAGTGTATGTATACATTATGTGGTACTGATAAGCGACGCAGACTACTATGTTTACCTCCCGTGGCTAGGTGTTTTCATCAATGGTTAAACATTACGTCCTTAATGGTTCCAAGTCTTAGTTAAACAGTACGTCTTTGACAGTTCCAAGTCTTAGTTAAACACTAGAATACCCGTCATCCGTTGGATAACTGTGGGTTTCGGGGGTCATCCATCAAAAAACATCACGTCTGTCACTCAGAGGCATAGCGACCCTTCCCGGCGCCCGGGGACAAAGTTTTCGATTTGAACCCCCCCCCCCCCCCCCTCAAACTTTTGATGTGCACCCCCCCCCCCCCCCACTCAAACTTTCGATTTGAACCCCCCTCAACCTATCAATTTATTTTTCCAAACCATTTTGGCGCCCCAACATATGTCCCCCCCCCTTCCCCCCTCCACCTCCCCACCCCCCCTTCCCCCCCCCCCCGCCTCCCCTCCCCTCCCCACCCCCCCGCCTCCCCTCCCCACCCCCCGCCTCCCCTCCCCACCCCCGCCTCCCCTCCCCTACCGTCCCCCCCCCCCCTCCTCGGTACGCTACTGCAGTGTCACTTATCGTCACAAAAAACAGACCCCACATTCAAATATATGTTTTTTATCTTTTAAAAACACCGAAAACACCGATTTCGGACTATCCCTTCATAAACTGACGTCACAGGTGACCTACTCAACTCTACTTCACCTGCCCAGTGTCCTGCCAAGTCTCAGACAACATGTTTTTATCGTTTAAAAAACAATTCCAGCCGAGCACGTATCTGACCACACTATCCTTTCATATGCTTAGGACAAAGAAACAGATGAACTCTACTTCACCTGCCCTGTATCTTGCCAAGTTCAGATAGGCAACGTTATCATTCACATCTAAAAAAAAAAATTGAAAAAAAAAATTTCACTGACATATTGGTCTAGAACCCGTGCCTCCTGCATGAGAGCTGACTACGCTACCATTTTAGCTATTTACTCGTGACGTCACAAGTGAATTTTTATACTATACTATGTGTCTCCTTATGCAACTTGATTTACGCGTATAGATTCTAGATCTAGATCTAAAAATAAGTCTAGTAGTACTAACTTTCAAATTAAATTTTATCTTAAATAAGCCAAACAAAGATTTATATAAAATAATTAAGGCCTGAAATAGATTCTAGATGTAGAATTTACATTGAATCTAGTGACCTACATCTAGGCTAGATCTAGATCTAGATCTAGGCTAGATTCATAAATTTCCTTCGATAGCTGATCTTTAGATCTAGAGAAATTTATCGTAAAACTAAATGAAAAAGACAGTTGAAAATTGATATAAGTGTTGGAACGTAATAAATACAGCAAACGGACGTATTGTTAAAGTTATGACCGACAGAGAATTAGATTTAGAACGCGTTAAACTTTTGAATGGGAACACAATTTTCTTCAATAGACGCCGCCATTTTATTGTACTAAAGAGTAAACAAAAACCTGTGACGTCACTATTCCCACAAAGTTTAGTCAAGGTTTTAACATTTTAAAAAAAAATGGGTTATTCTGCGTAGGAATAAATCAATAAATTAATTAACGTCTTTAAATAAATTTGTGATCAACAGTCTGTCTGCATTAAAAAATTATTCTCTACCTGCATACCATTTTACAGCTTTCCAGATAGAGTCGAACATATCACAATTTTCGATCAGGCAAACAAATAAATATTCAAACATGTAAACAAAGTTGACTTTTAGTAGTATATAGATGACGTCCTTATAGTTATAAGTCTGAATGTTGAGGTCGGTTAACAAGGGGTGGAGCGAAGGGGTGGATCTAGTCAGGCGGTATTTTTTTTTCTAAATAGATATTGGTAATAGAGGGAAGATTATAGAATAGAGTAATCCCCCTTAGAAATATAAGGAGTGGTTAATAAAAAGAAAATGTGAGTAGGTAGCATTGCTTAATTTCGAATTAATATGTTGGTGTTTTTTTTTTTAAGTGGAGCTTAGTTGTGTTAATTATCCAGCGTAGGTATTATTATAAATCTTCAATTACTATCAAAAACCTAGTATCAAATATTTTTTTTCTAAATGTTATACGCTTTCCATATGGTCTAAGGTATTCGATGAAATAGGACCAGCTTTGGGTCGGGAAAAAAGGGCAAAGAAAAAAAAGCTATTTAAAAACAGAAAAAAACGTTGGCCGTCTCTTCCAAAGTGATTTATCCATTTTGACATTGTTTCCTGTAATTGTTCCAGCCGAGTTTTGAACTTTTAACCCCTTGAACCCCCCCTCACCCTCCCGGTGGGGAATGTTTAGTGCGGGCCCGACAAGATCTGACCGCTCACCGCACGTGCACTAAGTTTCTACCTACCACAAGGGGGGTGTGAGGCGTAAACCACGTGACCGTACCGTGGTGGGGGGGGGGGGGGTCGTCACGTGACCCCGCGGTGTGAGGACGATGGATCACCATCGGATATCACAGCTGGTTTAGAAAGTTGTTTGTGGGGATCAGATGTGGTTGCCTGGCTTATATGCGCGTGCGTGCGTTGTGTGTGGGTGAGCGAGTGTGTGAGTGTTAGAGAGAAAGAGTACGAGTGTGAATGTATGTGTGAAGGAGACTGTTGTTATGTGTGTGCGTGTGTGTGTGTGTGTACGTAGGAGTGAGAGAGTGAGAGTGTGAGAAAGTGCAAATACGCATGCATGAAAGTGAGTACTCTATCTAATGTCTGTGTGAGGATCTGTGTGAGAGAGAGAGAGAGTGAGAGAGAAAGAGAACGGGTAAAAATATGCATGCATGCATAAAAGTGAGTATTGTGTTATCTATGCATGGGGGGGGGGGTACGTGTTGTAGAGAGAATGTGAAAGAGAAAACAAGTGCAAATATTATACATGGGTGTGAGGACGTCGGTGTGTGTGTGTGTGTGTGAATGAGAGAGAGAGAGAGAGAGAGAGAGAGAGAACGAGTGTGCATGTTTATGTGAATGTGAGTGTTGTTGTATGTGTGTTTGGTTGTGTGTGAGTACATGTGTATATATATTCATGCGCGTGTTTAAGCGTGAGGTATCTTGTTGAGTGTTGTGATCTTTAATTTTTAAAAATTTAAACAACAACTAAAATACATCAGAAGGAAATGAAAAACTTAAACATGCTATAAAGTCCATCTGTTTCGCTCTGTAATGTAAACATTCTAAAATTTTAACACTAACAAATACACTCGCTGGTCTTGTATGTTGTATTTTCTGAATATTCGTTCAAACAAATTATTTGTTTATTTTTACTGCATTAAAATGTTTTTAATTTCCTTTCTTTTGACTGTACATCAACTTTTAAATGGAAAGCTTAAAACAATTATTCTAAGTGTGTTGTTTACAATTTTTTTTTTAAATTCTCGGAGTTTGGTGTTTGATGTCCAATGATAAAGACAAATTAAAAGCACAGTAAAGAAAACAAAAAAATACGCGGCCAATAACATCTATTTCAATTAAAACTATTTGCTTAATTAAAGTTTTACACCGCGGTCTAGAAATAAAATGTGGATTTATTGTATGGCCAAGATACTTAGAGATGAATGAGGGTGGGGTAGGAGGTGGGGGTAAAAAATTTCAAAGATTGTAAAACGTGTTTTACCGACGTTGTTGTTACATCATTGGTGGGTTTACATAGCCTAGATGTGGAGTCGATTATTCACTTAGTTACCTGATCCATTCAAATATCGCAGAGAGCTTTTCACACTGAAGACGGAAAACCGCATATCGTGGAGATCTTAAGGAAGGTATAAAAAGATGGGCCAAATCTGGAGCCAGCTAGAGAGACTGGCTGAGCCTTTGGAGAGCTGTAATTGGTGGCCCATACTCCAGCAGGACAGAGAACTCTGGAGAGCTGTAGTTGGTGGCCCATACTCCAGCAGGACAGAGAACTCTGGAGAGCTGTAGTTGGTGGCCCATACTCCAGCAGGACAGAGAACTCTGGAGAGCTGTAGTTGGTGGCCCATACTCCAGCAGGACAGAGAACTCTGGAGAGCTGTAGTTGGTGGCCCATACTCCAGCAGGACAGAGAACTCTGGAGAGCTGTAGTTGGTGGCCCACACTCCAGCAGGACAGAGAACTCTAGAGAGCTGCAGTTGGTGGCCCATACTCCAGCAGGACAGAGAACTCTGGAGAGCTGTAGTAGGCGGCCCATACTCCAGCAGGACAGAGAACTCTGGAGAGCTGTAGTAGGCGGCCCATACTCCAGCAGGACAGAGAACTCTGGAGAGCTGTAGTAGGCGGCCCATACTCCAGCAGGACAGAGAACTCTGGAGAGCTGTAGTAGGCGGCCCATACTCCAGCAGGACAGAGAACTCTAGAGAGCTGTAGTAGGCGGCCCATACTCCAGCAGGACAAAGAACTCTAGAGAGCTGTACTTGGTGGCCCATACTCCAGCAGGACAGAGAACTCTGGAGAGCTGTAGTTGGTGGCTCATACTCCAGCAGGACAGAGAACTCTGGAGAGCTGTATTTGGCGGCCCATACTCCAGCAGGACAGAGAACTCTGGAGAGGTGTATTTGGCGGCCCATACTCCAGCAGGACAGAGAACTCTAGAGAGCTGTAGTTGGTGGCCCATACTCCAGCATGACAGAGAACTCTAGAGAGCTGTAGTTGGTGGCCCATACTCCAGCATGACAGAGAACTCTAGAGAGCTGTAGTTGGTGGCCCATACTCCAACAGGACAGAGAACTCTAGAGAGCTGTAGTTGGTGGCCTATACTCCAGCATGACAGAGAACTCTAGAGAGCTGTAGTTGGTGGCCCATACTCCAGCAGGACAGAGAACTCTGGAGAGCTGTAGTTGGTGGCTCATACTCCAGCAGGACAGAGAACTCTGGAGAGCTGTAGTTGGTGGCTCATACTCCAGCAGGACAGAGAACTCTGGAGAGCTGTAGTTGGTGGCTCATACTCCAGCAGGACAGAGAACTCTGGAGAGCTGTAGTTGGTGGCTCATACTCCAGCAGGACAGAGAACTCTGGAGAGCTGTAGTTGGTGGCCCATACTCCAGCAGGACAGAGAACTCTGGAGAGCTGTAGTTGGCGGCCCATACTCCAGCAGGACAGATAACTCTGGAGAGCTGTAGTTGGCGGCCCATACTCCAGCAGGACAGAGAACTCTGGAGAGCTGTAGTTGGCGGCCCATACTCCAGCAGGACAGAGAACTCTGGAGAGCTGTAGTTGGCGGCCCATACTCCAGCAGGAAAAGGAAATGGCATTGAGGGAAACATAACTTTCTTTATTCATAGATCCGTATCGATTTTAGTGTGGCAGGTATGGCTAACCCTGGTGCGAATCCTTATCCTAATCTTAACCCTCACCAAAAACTCTAACCCAAAACGTATCTTAACCCTAGCATATTTTACCAAAATATCTCATACCACCGGATTGCCCTGCCGGAAAACAAATTTAGTAAAAAAAACTTTACTTCTCTGTTAGATGGGTTTTTAAAAACTTTCATCCATTACACCTTCCCGTGTTTAAAAAAAATCATCTAGCACGCGTAAACAAACAGCATTCAAAGCAAATAACATTAAAAAAACTTTTAACTACCGACTCGGGCAGGCTGCTTTCTGGGCAGACAAATCTCACAGCACTTCTTAGAGGTCATCTCGTGAGAGTAGCACAGGTAGGGTCCGAATGTGCGGATAGCCTGCTGGCAGTCCATCCCGTTGATACTGAGTTCAATCCCTGTGTCTGGACATTCCTGAAGGGGGGGGGGGGGGAATATGTAACACATATGTGGTTGGCTTACAGTAAGACATACAGAGAAATATACACACTCACTATAACATATGTATGTCACGATAAATCAGTGGTTGTACCTCTACCACTATCTTATAACCCCCCCCCCCCCCCCTACTCATATTTACACCCTACCCTCAACTGCCGACCACATAATTGTCTAAAATTAATGAGTAAATTAATTATTCAATCTGTGTGGGTGGTTGTAAAGGAAGAAACGCCAGCACTCGTTAACCTGCAATATTTAACCCATGGGGAGATGCAAAAGTTAACCTTTGGGGTGCTGCAATGTTTAACGAATAGGGGTACTATAATGGTTAACCTTTGGATAGATGCAATGGTTAACCTTTGGGGTGCTGCAATATTTAACCTATTGGGTGCTGAAATAGTTAACCATTGGGGTGCTACAATGTTTAACCTTTGGGGATGGAGGCTGCAATGGTTAACCTATGGTAACGGCAATGGTTAACCTAATTGTTAGCCTTTGGGGTACTGCAATGGTTAACCCATAGAGAGATGCAATAGTTAACCTATAGGGATGCAAGGGTTAACCTATGGGGAGCTGCAATGTTTAACGAATAGGGGTACTATAATGGTTAACCTTTGGATAGATGCAATGGTTAACCTTTGGGGTGCTGCAATATTTAACCTATTGGGTGCTGAAATAGTTAACCATTGGGGTGCTACAATGTTTAACCTTTGGGGATGGAGGCTGCAATGGTTAACCTATGGTAACGGCAATGGTTAACCTAATTGTTAGCCTTTGGGGTACTGCAATGGTTAACCCATAGAGAGATGCAATAGTTAACCTATAGGGATGCAAGGGTTAACCTATGGGGAGCTGCAATGTTTAACGAATAGGGGTACTATAATGGTTAACCTTTGGATAGATGCAATGGTTAACCTTTGGGGTGCTGCAATATTTAACCTATTGGGTGCTGAAATAGTTAACCATTTGGGTGCTACAATGTTTAACCTTTGGGGATGGAGGCTGCAATGGTTAACCTATGGTAACGGCAATGGTTAACCTAATTGTTAGCCTTTGGGGTACTGCAATGGTTAACCCATAGAAAGATACAATAGTTAACCTATAGGGATGCAAGGGTTAACCTATGGGGAGCTGCAATGGTTAACGTATAGGGGAGCTGCAATGATAAACCCACTAGGAACCGCACCATACACAGACGTTAATGTTTTCTCTACCGTCCGCGACTTACTGAATCATCCTCGTCGTCGATGGTGTAGCTCTGACCAGACCCTGGTAAAGACAGCCCCTGGGTGCCCGGGCCTGGCCTGGAATGTGGGTTGTAAAAGGTAGGCCCGGGGCGGGGTCTCTGGTTGGAGATGATGACAGGACCCCCGTGGATCCCTCGTTGCACGGGCGGATCACGCGTGGTGTATCGTACATTGTATCCGGAGTTGTTCGAAGGCTGGCCTTGATAGTACCACGTAGGTCTGGTGGGTTGGATGTAGGTGGCGTCATCGACGCTGGCGTCTGGTCCTGCTCTGGGCGTCGGTGCCGGAGTGGGTTGGTACCGTCCTTGACCCCGGATGTCGTCTGCGGTGCCGGTGGTCTGGCTGCTGCCGGATTCTCTCTGGCGCCTCAGCTGATCGATGTACCTCCTCCGTTCTTCGTCCCTCCGCTGACGTTCCTCCTCTCGTTGCCGAGCCTCCTCCTCTTCCTCCTGCCTCTGCTTCTCTTCCTCCCTCTGCCTCTCCTCTTCTCTCCGTCGCTCCTCCTGACTCCGCCTCTCCTCCTCTCTTCGCCTCTCCTCTTCTCTCCGTTGTCTCTCCTCCTCCCGCCTTCGCCTCTCCTCCGCTCGCCTTCTCCTCTCCGCCTCATGTCTCCGTCTCTCAACCTCCCTCCGACTTTCCTCCTCCGCTCGAATCCTCTCCTGCTCCCCATCTCGACCCGTGACGTCACTTCCCGTCGCGCCGACACCCTCCCCAGGATTTTCACTCCTCCGTTTTTGCTCCTCTCTCCTCCTAATCTCTTCATCCCTCAACCTTCGCCTCTCCTCCATCAATACCCTCCTCCGTTCATACTCCGCCTGTCTTCTCCTCATTTCCTCGTCTCTTGACTCCCCACTTCCGCTCGAACTATTCCTAGAATCAAACCCCAACTCCACAGCCGCACGCTGATTGGCTGTTCCCCTGACCCCATATGACGTCACTTGGCGCGCAATTTGATTGCCTCTTCCGATATCCCTTGCGTTGGTTGTGATGTTGTCGCCTTGGGACTTGCCGTCCTTGGGCTTGTAATAGACGTACTGTGTGTTCTCTCGGCCGAACGGATAGAAGTACGTTCTACTGGGTCGGGCTGTCCCTGTGTAGGGGAGAGAACAATTGTATTACATGTCAATGATAGATTATGAGGGCAGAGTTTCTTTCAAGGGGAGTCGGGGTGTCGTCCCCCGGAGGAAATAGAAAAAATATATTAGTTTTATAGAAAATGTATCCTTCAACTCATTTGAGCACCCCCTCCCCAAAATGTAAGTACGCCCCCTCCAAAAATGAAAAGAAAAATAACTGTTAAAGAGAAATTGACATGGATACTGTAAGCAATTTTCCCAATGTTTTTAAGTGCCAAATATAGAAGGACTAATCTTATAAGTTATTCCACAAGAACAATCTCAGCGTTTGTCTTGTTTGGGGTCTAGTCTCAGATGATTTTTTAAACCTTCCTTTGACTTGTGGTAATAAAACCTACATAAAAGTCTTATAACTTGGGTGGGATTCGATCCTACCTTAAAAATAAGTAGTTTATTTGGGTGGGATTTGACCCTACCTTAAGTCGTTAATTTGGATGGGATTTGACCCTACTTTAAAAATAAGTCATAAACTGAGGTGGGATTTGAACCTACCTTAAAAAATTAAGTCATTAACTGAGGTGGGATTTGAACCTACCTTAAAAAATTAAGTCATTAACTAAGGTGGGATTTGAACCTACCATAAAAAGTTAAGTCATTAACTGAGGTGGGATTTGAACCTACCTTAAAAAATTAAGTCATTAACTAAGGTGGGATTTGAACCTACCTTAAAAAATTAAGTCATTAACTAAGGTGGGATTTGAACCTACCTTAAAAAATTAAGTCATTAACTGAGGTGGGATTTGAACCTACCTTAAAAAATTAAGTCATGAACTGAGGTGGGATTTGAACCTACCTTAAAAAAATAAGTCATAAACTGAGGTGGGATTTGAACCTACCTTAAAAAATTAAGTCATGAACTGAGGTGGGATTTGAACCTACCTTGTCATAAACTGAGGTGGGATTTGAACCTACCTTAAAAAATTAAGTCATGAACTGAGGTAGGATTTGAACCTACCTTGTCATAAACTGAGGTGGGATTTGAACCTACCTTAAAAAATTAAGTCATGAACTGAGGTGGGATTTGAACCTACCTTGTCATAAACTGAGGTGGGATTTGAACCTACCTTAAAAAATTAAGTCATGAACTGAGGTGGGATTTAAACCTACCTTGTCATAAACTGAGGTGGGATTTGAACCTACCTTAAAAAATTAAGTCATGAACTGAGGTGGGATTTAAACCTACCTTGTCATAAACTGAGGTGGGATTTGAACCTACCTAATACAGACGGCCTGCTGGTGGTACCCCTTATAGAGACGAACACTGAGGCCGATGATGATCTACCCGGATATATACGTGCGGGTGACGACTGTCTCGGGGTTCGAATCCTCAGCTTGCTAGTTATATCCTCCTGGTTCTCTGTGTTACCTAGCTCTACCTGTCCTGCCGAAGACCTGTGGTCGAAGTTCGCCTGTTTGGGAGTTGTAAATTGTATGCTTCATTGTGAATTTTATAGTTCTGTTCTAGCAAACTTTATATATGGAGGATAAAAGGTGTGGTCAAAACTATGCCCAGCCGCATTTACTTTACTTTAGGCTGGTTAGGTACCCATCAGGGCTGTGTTGACCGAGATCCAAACTCGAGACATTCGCTCGGGCTATCAGTCGAGCGCACTGCTACTCGACCACGCCATTCCATATATATATATATATATATATATATATATATATATATATATATATATATATATATATATATAATATGTGTGATCCGATATGATTATATTTAGCAAATCAATAAAAAAAGATGTACTCACATTGCCGTCTGCTTGACGTTTGATCAGACGATGAAGAGCTCGGAATTTTTCTTAAAGAAAAAAATTGATTAAAATAAAACATGTATCTTGATAAAAATAACTCAACCTTTTATGAAAAGTCTTTCTGTTGTGTTTATAAATATTACATTTAAACCTCGGTTTTTATAAGTCACGCTGTAAGACCTATTCATGGGTGGTCGATTTGGTTGTGGATGAAAATCACTAAATAATAAAATAAAAAACTGGGGAAATGTATGCTTAAAACTTAGATAAACTCATATAGCCTTAGCACAGGGGTCTCCAAACTTTTCAGTCCGAGGGCCGCATTAACTATCAAATTTCAGTTCGGGGGCCAGTTTCTTCCAGGCATGTCTTTGATTTTTTCTGGGCGAAGTTCCTCAGCCATCACCAACAAACGATTTTTCCTTGGACAAAAAGATCTCCGCGGGCCGGATGAGAGGACTTCGCGGGCGGCATCCGGCCCGCGGGCCGTAGTTTGGAGACCCCTGCATGAAAGTACAGCGGAACGTGATGTTTTTACCCATTACTCCAATGCTCCTATACGGCATTTTAGGATCACCACACCTTATATTTTACATTTCTAAGATCCCCCCATACCATTTTTACATCACGACAATTTTTTTTTAACTGATATTTTAAACACAAAATATGAAAATCATAATATTTTAGAGAAAAATCGTGTTACATTTCTTTTTATTTTCTTTAAAAATATGTTAACTGTTTGTTATTATTCATCCGAACATGTTCAATGAAAAAAAATTCTGTACAAGAAAACTAATAATGTAAAATCTATGCTCTATACCCCCCCCCCCCCCCCCAATTGATACAAGAAAATAAAACACCATCCTACCCCTCAGCCTGTTATATAATACGCAGACGTTCCTAAGTAGAAAAATTATACAGATCACTAAGCATCGGATATCACAGCATATGAATTGGCAACATTGTATGCTGTATGTCTTTAAGCAGCCTACATTCATTTTGCTTTCAAAAGGGAAAAAATTAGAGGAGTTTTTTGTTTTTTTTTTAATTTTATTCTAGCAGTAATCGCCTTCAATAAAATGAAATGTTTGTCTCAGAGAAAAAATGTGCGTCTCTGAAAGATGGAAATTGTGTGCGAGTGTTTGTCTGAGTGTGTGTGGTCTAAGAGAAAGAGAAAGTGTGTGCGTGTGTGTGAGTGTGTGTTTATGGTTGGATTATCTAACTAGCTTTAAATTGATAAACAGTATGGTGTGGGGTCAGGGGGGGGGGGCAGTATTGATCCTACCTTTCCCTTGATACTAATAAAACTCACTGATGTCTAAGACAACATATGCGATATCTTTAAATATCTTCATCTCAACCCACTCGCCCCCCTGCTCAGTTTAGACCAGTAGTTCTCAACCTTTTTTGAAGGTACCGAACCCCACCAGTTTCATATCCGCATTCATTGAACCCTTCTTAATAGTTCTATCATCGGCACTGACAAATCCGATCGTGAATTATATGAGTTTGTGTGTCTTGACCTATACTAAACCCCTGAGACTGACTCATCAAACCCCCTGGGGTTCGATCGAACCCAGGCTGAGAACCACTGGTATAGACTAAACCCCGAATGATAGCAGGAAACGAGGAAGTGAAGTTACATCGCCATGTGCTGAAGGAATTTCAAACTAAACTATTTCAAATGTTGAACACGCCGGTTCGAGACGGAGTAAAAAAAAACAACAACCTCCAAACATCAAAAAGCGAATTTGTTATCAATGTTGCATGTCAGAGACGAAATAAAATAATTTTAAAAACTTTTCTCGGTGGTTCGCGGAAAAGCCAAATGGCATCTAACAGCAAGCATGTCTGGGAGAATTAGTTAAACTCTTCCCTGAATTTGTTTGAACGTTATTTAAAAAAAAAAACAACATACAAATGCACGTGTTTCGTTATGTGTGGATCGAAAAAAAATATTTTTTAGTACAGAATAAAAACTCACCCACGCATGTTCTAAAAATAGAACCCGGAAACAAATGTAAAAAGGGGAGATGAGTTTAGTAGCTTAAAATCCAAACGCAACTTAGGTGTGGGAAAAGATATTTTTTTTAAAGTTTTGGTATATTTGCAAGCTGGGGGAAAGGTTGTTTTTTTTCTTCACACTTCACAAACAGAGAGGAAGTTTAGTTTTAACTAGTCGACTCTGGTTACTTGTGGATAAGTGGTAACACTAACCAAAACAGGGGCGGATTAGAGCAGGGTGAAGAAGGGTGGGGTAGGGAGGGGTTAGCTGGGGTTTTGACTGACGCTCCTAGACTACAAGGTTATAAACGGTTTATCTCGGTTTTAGAATTAAACACACACGTCATGGCTATAATTTGTTAAATTAATGTCGTCACAGCCAGCTCACATATGACCTCCCTTCCTCCCCTCCCGACTAACCCATTCATTATATTAATCAACACCAATCCTAGGATTAACCTAACCCTAATCCTTTCATCTTACAGTACTGTCGACAGTTTCTTCCAGGCATCTGTACCCCCCCCCTCACCGAAGAAAGTCTCTCCCCTTCCCCCCCTCGAACGAAATGGAATTTATATAAAAAATATATGCTTTTACCAGTGTCCGCCCCCACCCTCCGGAAATTGAGCCCCTTTACCCCCCCCCCCCCCCCCCCGAAAATATCAAGCCCAACCCCCTCCCCCGGAGGAAAAAGTCGAAGAAACAATGGCACGTTCCAGCAACCATTGTGTCTGAACACAACTTCTAACCCCTCTAAAGCTGAAAACAAAAACAGAACATTTCAAATGTTTTCACTAATAACGATTTAATCATCCCATGGTCCTCCGTCAAAAGGTACCGAGACAAAACGGTCCCTTTATAAATCAGCTACGCCGTATCGGCTTCGACGAATATAACAGTCAGCAATATTTTAAGCGCAGTTCAACCATTTCTCAACTCTAGTCGTTAAAACACCATCTACTAGATATCATGGGGCCGCGTGGTCGGGTGGTAGAGCGCTCGACTGCTAACCCGGAAGTCTCGACTTCATCTGGGGCTCGAGTCTGTAGGACGTCCCTGAGTCCACTCAGCTCTGATCGGTACCTGACTCAAGTTACGGAAAGTAAAGGCGGCTGACCACACCATATTTTCATATGCAGAGGTGATGAAACAGATGAAATCTACTTTATCTACACCAAATAACGTCAGGTTCGGGAACTTTATTTACTACACATTAGTGATTATATCTTTATGATATGGTCGGCGTGGTCGAGTGGGTAAAGCTTATGGTTGTTAAGCCGAAAACGTCTAAGTTCGAACCCTCGGGCAGATGAGGCTCGTTAGCTGGGGACAGCCACTCTTCTAGGAGAGACAACTCCAAAATCTGCTGCCTTGTAGTTTGTTCTTGGTTGGACAAAGGCTAGGAAGCAAATCCAAAAAGAAAAGCAGGCTGGAATCGGAGTCAATGGCCTCAATGGGATCGCTTTCAACACTAAACTTAAAAACGAAGAAGAAGAAGATATCTTTAGGAAGTCTACCACCACTTTCCCACACCAAACCAACACAAATGCTGTTTATGTTACTACAGTTTTTTTAGTAAGACGATGTGTTAGTTTTGTCAATGTTTCTGCTGACTAAGGCATATGGCAGCAACGTATTATGTTTTGTTTCGGTACATGTATCTATTGCGCGAAAGCTTATTTTTGGCAAACATTTAGACGATTGTCAATAAATGACGTCAGTGTGTTACAACAAATCGTAGGTGGGTGGGCTAAGGGAATCTCCTGAACTACTACGTAATAGATTCTTTATTTTTTTGCACTTAACAAATGTAAGTGATGAAAAACGACGTCTATTTTGTTAGAATTGAGGTTAGAGGAGTGAGTACTAAAGTGGGGGTATACATGACTCATTGTAGTATTGTATTAACTGGACGGTGTGGTCCAGCGGTAGAGCTAACACGAAAGTCTCGAGTCCGAATGCGGGTTCAAGTCAGTAGAATGTCCCTGAGTCCACCCAGCTCTGATGGGTACCTAAATTACGTTAGGGAAAAAAGACGGCTATGCATGACGCTGACCAGACTATCTCTTCATATGCCGAGGCCACAGAAGCAGGTGGACTCTACTTCATTTGCCCTATTTGCTCGAAAAGGGAACTTTTTTTGTAATCTCGTATTCGTACGTCGAGTCTGACTTATTGTGGCGATCTGTGAGCACAGAACATAGGGCTAAAAATAAACATTAGGGGAACGGCATGGTCGTGTTTGAGTGCTCCAGAGTTCGGATGCCGGATATATGAGGTTCGCTACCTATCTACAGCTACCAATTTAACAGAGAAAACTACCAATAAAACACCTGCTGCCAGGCATATTTATTCTTAAATGGACAAAGTCTTTTAAGCCCATCCAAAAAGAAAAGCAGGCTTTCAGTCGAAGTCATCGAGAAATATGGCGCAATACAAGTAGACACGTAATGTTTAATTATGTTGAAGGAAATCCCCTCCATTATTAGAATCTAGAACGAAGTAGAAAAAAAACCGAAGTTATTTTTGGACAACCACTTTGGTGGAAACTTCATACATTCTATCCGTTGTTTTTTTTTTTTTAAATACGTGTTTTTTTTTTCTCTCCCGTATATTACATTTCTGCCTGCGCAGTTCAGTTGTATTTTTATCGACCTTATTTCTAGCTGAACTTCTTACACTAGATGGTACTTTACAAGTCCTAATACATCAAATAGATCTTAACAAAATAAGACTACATGATGCTTTACATTACAAGTCCTAATACATCACACATATCTTAACATTACAAGACTAGATGGTACTTTACATTACAAGTCCTAAAACATCAAAAAATTACAAGACTAGATGGTACTTTACATTACAAGTCCTAATACATCAAACAAATTACAAGACTAGATGGTACTTTACATTACAAGTCCTAATACATCAAACAAATTACAAGACTAGATGGTACTTTACAAGTCCTAAAATATCAAACATATTACAAGACTAAAATACATCAAACATATCTTAACAAACCTTGACCTACCTCTTAAATCGT